TAGCCGATCAGTGGTGGTCTTGACCGGTCATCATTTAAAATTCTGAGACCGGGACAAGACCGAGTTAAAATGCTTCGATTCCAAGACGAGCCGAGACCTCAAAAAGTGGTCTCGAGACCGGTCTTAAGACCAAGACGGATTCCGATTACTCGTAACCTGAAACAAACTCTAGAATCTCAGATACACAAAGCAGCCCACGCTGTGACAAACCACAGCTCCTGTTGTCACTTGTTCTTGTTTCTCTGTAGCTGCAAGACCAAACAAGCTGTAACATTTCTGAAGATGTACTCGTGCCTCGCAGGATAACAGACTCCATAAACTCACACAGTGTCCAGGGCTGTACGGCTGAGGAGTCAGGTGTTGTAGAACTTGGCTGTGTCGGTTTTGTGTTGGTTTGGTTGCACAGCATTCAGATTCAAACGACTTCTCTAATCCCAGAGAGCAATTTGGTTTCACAGCCTATCGAGTCCTTGGTAGGCAGGTATAGGCTGCTGGTCGCACACATGGAGAGCGCCCCCTGGCTGGCCAAAGGTCACACGTTACAAAGTAAAGAGCAGGCGACCAAAAAATGTTCAACTTTAATGTCTAACAGGGGAAATGTATTTTGCAGTCATGCGAAAACAAAAAAAAAAAAGAAAACCCCAGGCCCATAGACTCAGAGATTAGAAACTACATAATAAACATTTAAAACTTAAATATTAGAGTTCATTATGTGGCAACAGGAAACTGAGAATATAAAAAAATCATCCATAAAACCATCATTTAAGAAAAAAAAAAAAAAAAGGAATACACAAGATTATTTTCATCTCGCAAAGACTCCTAACAGAATAATAAAACATTTTAGTATAACATACACTGTTTTGTCCCTTTTCTCCGTCGCTGACCTGTGCATGCACCTGGCATTGATCTCAGAAAGAAATACAAAAATCATAAAGAAAATAGGACGACCATTAGATTAACATCCTGTTTGGAATCCAGCCTGATGCCTGATGTTTTGACAAAACACTGACAAAACCAGTGAGTCATCCTGATCACTGTGGGCCGGCATCCTCGGTCCTCGGGGCTTCTTGTTTCTATTTGTTATTCTTTGAGCAGGAGGAGAAACAGCTCTGCAGACAGTTCTCTCGTTTAACCTGGTGTTACAGTTACATCCAGCTCGAATGTCAGATCAAAGTACGTCCACTCAAACGTCTCGTTTTTTTATCCAGACTCAGATTGTTCTTCTCAGCATCTGACGTTAACAGAAAAGATCAGAGATACTCTTTCACAAAGAAATAAAAAACAACAGCTTTGAAAGTTTTCTGACACACCAAGGAGATCGTCGCCATAGTTTTTGCGGTAGTTTCTTTTGGCCGATTCGACATGTTGAATCAGCGTCGGCGGTTGGTGAGAAGAGTCTCTCTGATTGGCTGTTCAGAGGTTTCATTTCTGTCCAGTTCTCCTCTCAGGTTCAGTAAAGCCTCCTGAGCATGTCTCTGTAGTCTCCATGCTTTCACCCATTAGTGTGGTTTCTCCTTATTTGTCTCCTCCTCCTCTTCTTTTCTTTTTCCACTAAAAGACCAAGAGCTGACAACACCAGCGCCATTTTCACCTTTTTATCAGACATTATTCTCCATTAGTAGACGACCTATAATACGAGTGGTGAGCGACAGCGGGGTGAAAATGGTCTTCTCGTATCATAACAACGGACTACCGCCCCCTGCTGACATGGAGAGTTATTTCCTCTAATGAGCAGAACGTACGTGGTGATTGGCCGTCGCTGTAGTCTCTGTGGTGTTTCAAGTGCAACTTTTCGGTCAAGACAAAGACACTAGTTCTTTGCCGTCTGCTTGGTGTGTCAGGGCTTTAAAGATTAGTCAGACGATTAGAAAAAACTAAACAAGCTGATTGCTTTTTTATCACCACTAATTAATCTAAAGTCTGCGGATGTTTTACTTACTGCAGAATGTGAACAAGCTCTCGGGGAAACTTCAGTCTGGAGGAAAGAGCTTTCTTTATAACAGGCATCAGTCCTTTTTATTGTGCACATGAACTGTATTCTATCTTTTTTACTGAATACAATCACAGCTTTGCATGGTCATACCCCATGTAAACTAACACCAAGAAGCTGTAAAACATCAGAATCAGCGTCCTCTGATCTCTCTGGTTGCAGATGTTTTTCCCACAGCAGGACAAGCTGAAACACAAAGTGATGAAACCCTGCAGAGCCCCTACACTCTGACATGAATAACAGAATGTGGGTGAGACCAGCTACCAGAGACATTCCATAATGATCACAGTTACAGTTGATGCAGAACAGATGCTGGCGCTTTACTGTGTGGTGTGTTTCAGGAGGTTTCACACGGCCTTTCTCTCTCCCTGTTGGTTCTTCTGCGCGGTATGTTCTGAGTATAAATATTTTGGAAAAGTGTGATGATAACAATGTTAAATATTAACACCCGCCTCACCCGGCAAAGCATCCGGCCCCCCCATCACTGAGACTCTTCAGCCTCTGAGCCACTCTTCCAGACTGATGATCAGTTTCATCCACCCAGCTGTCAGGAAGCTAACTCTCTCCCCTCTGCCTCTCCCCCCCGCTCCCCTCAGCTCTGGATGTTGAACCTCACCACCCATCTTGGAGCATCCTCTCTCTGTCCTTTACTTTTCACTAATTAGTGCCTTATATTTATTATATTTCAATTTAAACCAAGCACATTGTTGTTGATTGTTTTTTTAAATGAACATATTTTGCACATTATCTTTGTACTTTGTATATCTGAACTTTTCTTCATCTAAAAGTGTGCCGTGCCTCAAAAGAAGGTTAAAAAAACACTCTAAGTTGATGCATTTTGTAATTCATATAGCACCCTCTGCTGGGACAGAGAACTGCACGTCAACAAATGAAACTCAAATGAGATGCTTTTGACTGGTTGACAAATCGAGTAATAACACGCATATCTCGATAAATTTAGCCGATACTGATACTCACTCGAAATACTAATATCGGCTGACGTTATCGCTGGATGATTAATCGTCGGCTCTAGTAGTACAAAGCGTAATAATGCTGCATCATGTGGTCGACACATCGGAAAAATTAGATTCCGAGTTGCAAAATGCGCATGAACACGTGCTCAGTCAGAAACAACTCGGAAAAGAATGAGATGCCCGACTTCTGACTTGACTCAGAATCGTCATCAACATTGTTAATTAACATTAATTCAGTATTGTGCATCAACTTTTTGCTCCAATAACTTTTAACAGAATATTTCACTGTTCTTCTTCGGAGCGTCAACGCTTTTTTGTGCTGTTGTTACAACATTCTGACTTTCCGAACTGAAATCACTTCGGAAAAAACGACTTCCAAACTCGGAAACTTGGACCAGCCGAGCAGCACAGTGAACTTGACCACGCAGCAGCGCGTGAACTTGACCAGCCGAGCAGCGCGTGAACTTGGACCAGCCGAGCAGCGCGTGAACTTGGACCAGCCGAGCAGCACGTGAACTTGGACCAGCCGAGCAGCACGTGAACTTGGACCAGCCGAGCAGCACGTGAACTTGGACCAGCCGAGCAGCGCGTGAACTTGGACCAGCCGAGCAGCGCGTGAACTTGGACCAGCCGAGCAGCACGTGAACTTGGACCAGCCGAGCAGCACGTGAACTTGGACCAGCCGAGCAGCGCGTGAACTTGGACCAGCCGAGCAGCGCGTGAACTTGGACCAGCCGAGCAGCGCGTGAACTTGGACCAGCCGAGCAGCGCGTGAAACTTGGACCAGCCGAGCAGCGCGTGAACTTGGACCAGCGAGCAGCGCGTGAACTTGGACCAGCCGAGCAGCACGTGAACTTGGACCAGCCGAGCAGCACGTGAACTTGGACCAGCCGAGCAGCACGTGAACTTGGACCAGCCGAGCAGCGCGTGAACTTGACCAGCCGAGCAGCACATGAACTTGGACCAGCCGAGCAGCACGTGAACTTGGACCAGCCGAGCAGCACGTGAACTTGGACCAGCCGAGCAGCGCGTGAACTTGGACCAGCCGAGCAGCGCGTGAACTTGGACCAGCCGAGCAGCGCGTGAACTTGGACCAGCCGAGCAGCGCGTGAACTTGGACCAGCCGAGCAGCGCGTGAACTTGGACCAGCCGAGCAGCACGTGAACTTGGACCAGCCGAGCAGCACGTGAACTTGGACCAGCCGAGCAGCGCGTGAACTTGGACCAGCCGAGCAGCACGTGAACTTGGACCAGCCGAGCAGCACGTGAACTTGGACCAGCCGAGCAGCACGTGAACTTGGACCAGCCGAGCAGCACGTGAACTTGGACCAGCCGAGCAGCGCGTGAACTTGGACCAGCCGAGCAGCACATGAACTTGGACCAGCCGAGCAGCACATGAACTTGGACCAGCCGAGCAGCACATGAATGCAGCATAACAGCAGAGCTTGTGCTGCATTCAGGTGCTGCTCGGGGAGAACGGCACACAGAGAGGTTCCTGTCAAGACGGGGAAGCGAACCACTGAACCATTTCGCTGTGAGGCAACAGCGCTAACCACAATTAAACACAGGAAAGAGAAAATGTAAGGATTTTTTAGATAATGAGAAATGAAAACTTTCAATAATACATTTCACGATTGTAGTTATTTCTGTTATTTAATGGTCAATTTGTTTTCCAGTTTCATATTTAAAAAAAAAACAAACGACCAAACCCGAAAAGATCCAGATAGCAGTGATACAAAACAGAGAAGAGCAGCAATTGTTCACAATAGAGAAGCTGCATCCAGCTCACAATCTGTTGTTACATCAACACTAAACAATGAATCCATTATTATAACTCTCACACAGTCCTTATATTAAATAAACACGATGCTACTGATCTGAGCTCTGTGTGTTTTAAACTCAGAAACACACACATGTGATCAGTTTCAGTCTCCTCATCCTGCTGACAGTGTTCTCTGGCACCTTCTCTGCCTCTGCGCATGCTCAGTGGGCCTCGTGGACACACAGCATGGGTCATCATTGGTAATCAGTCTTTTCTTTTTTAACTCTCCATCAACTCTCGGGCTTGTCCTTGTTGGGGCCCATGAACTCCACTCCGTCGATGGGGATGTCTTTCTCCTTGATGGCCTTCTGCACGCACCGCTGGTACTTCCGGAAGGTCTCGGTGCACGGGTCTCCGCTCCGGTCACCCTTCAGGAACTTCTCCGCGAACCAGCGGTTGAAGCACTGGTCGTACTCCCGCTTCAGGTCGGTGCAGGCCTCCCCGACGCTGTTCATTTTCACCAGCAGAACTCAGAACCGGCGGAAAAAAGTCGAGATACTGAAGATTTCTTCACCTGTTTTCAAAAGCAGGAGCTGTGTCAACATGCGCACTGCGTGACTCTCCTTGAACAGCGTGTTGTGATTGGTTGGTTTGACAGCCGTCGAACGTTGTAGCGTCACGTCGCATCAGGGATGGTGTATTTGCGAAGAGCGATCACTCTTGTGTAAAATCGCACGCACTTAAGTATGACGAAATAAAGTTCGTACGATTGAAATTAATATTATTGCATATTTATCATTTTTTTACCGCCTCCGAATTGTACAGAAGCTTGTGCAGACATGCATCAGTGCCACGTTTATTATAGTTTCGAATTTTACATTAGTTTGAATTTCTATTTATTTGTTTAAGTTTCTAAGTTTTATATGCCGTTTTATTCTCCTGATCTCAATTTGTATATCTCGTTATCTCAACATAATAACGATGGTTTACCTCTGATTTCGACTTAATTTCAGCCGTTTTCTTGAGCTCTCGAGTGGTTAATACCTTCTGAAAAGAGCACCGGAGTGAGACCTCTTACTTTGTTTGCCCAGCCGCCGTCCAAAACCCGCGAGATTGTTTTTTGAAGTCTCTCCGAGATCTCGCGATTCTCCGAGACGTGAGAGGCATCAGAGTGATCGAACTAAGCTGATAAATACATTTATTAATCGATTAATAAGCCAAAAAGAGCCAGACCGGAGTACAAAGAGGTAAGTTACACCCGCGCTGCTCATCGGACATAATTTGATTAAAGCTGTTTTGGAGATATCCTGAACGTAGCATCTCTTCACTCGTACGTTAGCATGCTAAGCTAGGCCATCATGATTGTTATGGGCTGCTAGCTTAGCGTTAGCTGCTCTGCCTGCGTTTTAATCAAACTTTACACGCGTGGCTCTGTAATCATTTCGCTCCTGCTGTCGACACAAAGGTTACACGATGTCTGATAGCGATGACAGCGACTTCTCCGACAACCAGAGTGAGCGCAGCAGCGACGGAGAGGCCGAGGAGGTGGAGAATGAGGTATGCTAACTGTGCTAGCTTGTGATGCTAACTAACAGATACAAAGTAAACATTGAAGTTTGAGAATATATTAAACATTAAACATTAAATATTATACTTTATATACTTTATATACTTTATATATTAAACATTATATATTATACATTATTTACTTTATGTATTATATATTATATATTATATATTAAGTATTATATATTATATATTATACTTTATATATTATACATTATATATTATATATTATACATTATTTACTTTATGTATTATATATTATATATTAAGTATTATATATTATATATTATACATTATATATTATATATTAAACATTATATATTATATATTATACATTATATATTATACATTATTTACTTTATGTATTATATATTAAATATTATATATTATATATTAAGTATTATATATTATATATTATACTTTATATATTATACATTATATGTTATATATTATACATTATTTACTTTATGTATTATATATTATATATTAAGTATTATATATTATATATTATACATTATATATTATATATTAAACATTATATATTATATATTATACATTATATATTATACATTATTTACTTTATGTATTATATATTAAATATTATATATTATATATTAAGTATTATATATTATATATTATACTTTATATATTATACATTATATATTATATATTATACATTATTTACTTTATGTATTATATATTATATATTAAACATTATACATTATATATTATACTTTATATACTTTATATATTATACATTATATATTATATATTATACATTATTTACTTTATGTATTATATATTAAATATTATATATTAAGTATTATATATTATATATTATACTTTATATATTATACATTATATATTATATATTATACATTATTTACTTTATGTATTATATATTATATATTAAACATTATATATTATATATTATACTTTATATATTAAATATTATACTTTACATATTAAATATTATACTTTATATATTATACATTATATATTAAATATTATATATTAAACATTATATATTATACTTTATATATTAAACATTATATATTAAACATTATACATTATTTACTTTATATATTAAACATTATATATTAAACATTATACTTTATATACTTTATATATTAAACATTATATATTATACATTATACATTATTTACTTTATATATTAAACATTATATATTATACATTATACTTTATATACTTTATATATTAAACATTATATATTATACATTATTTACTTTATATATTAAACATTATATATTATACATTATACTTTATATACTTTATATATTAAACATTATATATTATACATTATACATTATTTACTTTATATATTAAACATTATATATTATACATTATACTTTATATACTTTATATATTAAACATTATATATTAAACATTATACTTTATATACTTTATATATTAAACATTATATATTAAACATTATACATTATTTACTTTATATATTAAACATTATATATTATACATTATTTACTTTATATATTAAACATTATATACTGTATATATTAGACTTTATATATTGTATAATAATATACCGTTTATTTCATACATTATAGGGATTCAAGATAATCTTTTACTTTCTATGTTTTATTTGTCCATTTGAATCACTAGTAGCTGAATATGGAGCAGAGGAAGAAGTAGCTCAGACTGTAGGGGGAAAGTATGGGAAATGTTGTGGCTGCTGGAGAGGTGACAGGTCACTTCCAGAGTTCTAACAAGTCGCCCTCGAGCGAGGCACAGAACCCCCAACAGCTCTGATGTGCCCCCCCCCCCACTCTGACATCTCCCCATTAACACTTGTGTTTAGGAGGAGGCAGCCAGCCCCGTAGGCAGCGACAAGGTAGCAGAGGAGGAGGGAGAGGACCTGGAGGATGAGGAGGAGTATGATGAAGAGGAGGAAGAGGATGATGATGAACGTCCCAGAAAGAAGCCAAGACACGGGGGCTTTATCCTGGATGAAGCCGGTGAGACTCTGCTTCTCACGCTACAGCGGTTAACGAAGTGCTCAACTTGAAGTACTACTACTAAAACTTATTTTTCCCACCTCTCTGCCTAGATGTGGATGATGAGTATGAGGACGAGGAGGATCAGTGGGAGGAGGGAGCTGAAGATATTCTGGAGAAAGGTAAGAAGTTTGATTTGCTGTGATGAAACCTTTTGTTTAAAAAAAAAAAGTTTAAAAATGTGGTATCCACACAACCCAACTAGATATTTTAAGATATTTTTATATTATAAGACCCGCTCATCAAGAAGCTCCCGATTGAAGGATTTATTGATTTGTGACCTTTGGAGCCAACACGCTCTTCCTCTGACTTGAGCATGTCTGAGGAAATGTCCGTTTGTGGATCCGGCACCCGCAAGGGATGAGCGTGTCTTTTTTTACTTTTCATACTCAGAAATGTCTTTAAAAGAATCCTGATTTCTAACCTTCAGTTAATTGTATTTGTCCTTCCTCATGATGATTGTTTGAAACTCTCTGCACATTTTAGACGTATTTCAGTGATCCAGCTCAGAAATGTTTGTGTTTGAACGATGCTTTAGTGACAGATTATCACTAACCAACCTCTGATTTCAATGAAAACTAAAAAAAAAAGAACAATCAGAACACAAAGATATGGTTTGTCAGGACGAGCTCTGAATAGAAACACTTATTAAAGTGATTCACTTTGAACATATTGTGAACATTATCTGGAGGTCAGACTAAAGGAAATCTTCCCTGTGTGGTTCTGACCCTCTTAAAGGAGATCTATTCTGCTGATCCAGATTTAAATACACACACATATATAATGTTACGATGTTGAACGTCCACTCTAAACCTCAGCAACTTTTTTTAAAAACACAAGATAAAACAGTTGTTGGTGTAATCCTCGGGCGTGGTTTCCTGCTGCTCTGAATGAAGCTTGGACAGAACCTGACGAGGGAGTCTTAAAGAGACAGAGGCTGAAATGAAGTGTTTCAGGCAGAAGCTGAAATGAGGGATTTTACTGACGTCAGTATCAGATACATGAGGAGGTTTTTGAGCTACACATCTCACTAATCATTAGGTGTCCCAGACTGATATAAGATGAAAGTGAGCATAATAGATCTCCTTTAATGCTTTTTATAATGGCACCAACGTACAGACGGGTCTCAAAGGTCAGGTTGTGAGCGTTCTGAGAGCTCTGTGAAAAGGTTCCTGATGTGATGCAGAGAGTGTGACGCCTCAGTTGGAGCTGTTTTCTAAAACATGTATGTCCTCTGACTGAACTCTCTCTGTCTCATCGGTGTTCTCTCATGCATGTCCTCTTCAGTTAACGGTAAATCTACTTCAGATACACTCCTGCTCCGATTTGTTTCCATTGTTAGTGTTGTTGTTATTCTCCATGGTGTTTATCTGAAGCAAGTGGAGCATTCAGATTCATCCATTCAGTAAACCTCCATGTCCCAGAATGTAATGATTAACCCCACTTCATCTCGGCACAGCTGTTTTTGTGATTGTGTAGCTTCGTGTGCGGGAGAGCACAGAGGGCAAATCCATTATTGGCTCCTTGAACGGCAACAGCTCTATTTACAAAGTCCACACAGAAAAAAAACAATCACTACACTTTCTCTTTAGATTTTGATTCTGAGGCCACGTTTACACGACAACGATTGCGTTTTGGGTTTTATCATTACACAAATGGAGTGAAACCAGAAAGCCTTTGAACTTTTGAAATCCATCAACATGTAAACAGGAAATACACTTTTCCTCTGAAAACGGTGAATTCACGTGTGTGTAACGGTTCCAGTCAGTAGCCATGAGCAAGTATGTGGACTACAACAACAAAAACAACAAAGGCGGCTCCCGAGTTCTGATTTATGCTGCTCGCTCCCCGTCAACATTTTATCAACGGTGACTCTCTTTGGAGTAAATTTGTAGTTTAGGGCCTCCTCCTGGAGTAACAACGCTACCTACTGGTCTGTTATGGATATTGCAGCCGCTTGAAGTCGTCTTTTGGGGATCCGTGTGCACGCCCGTTGTTATCAAAACGTTGTCTTCTGAACGCAGAACCAAAAAACAGCTTGTTTTCTGAGTATTGTTCTCGTGTGGGCGTGGCCTAAATGTGTGAGCTTTCTAAAGTCAACATACGACAGAGACTGACAACAAGTGTTTGTATGCTGTAGTCGCTAACCTGTCTTTAGACGGAAGCCCTTCCTGTATGATGTCGTACTGATTTAAACCCCTCACATGGTTAAAACATATTTTTTTAACCAACCAGCTTCCTCGAAGTGTCAGGCACATCACAAGATCAGAAACAGACTTCATTTTTAGGTAATAAAATCCAAATTGACACCAAAATATTTGTCATTATTTAACACCTCGAGGTTTGACATTTAGCAGATTCAGCGGTTTCCATCGTTCAGAGACCAAAGTGTGATCCTTTGCCTGACTCTGCTGCCCCCGTAGACGACTGCACTCGTTCCCCTTTAAAATGTCTGGACTAATGGATGTGGTGGTTGAAGCTTTTTATGTGGCACGTGGTAATGCATACGATCACTGAAGGCACGAGTACGGCAGAAACTAAATCAAACTGTGTGAAAGGTTAAAGGGTCGCCATCCTGCTGCCTTTTTGTTTTATACTCATAAGAACCCCCAAACGACAACAAACCCCCAAAATGAAAGAGAGAGTCATGCCCCGTGTCCACCTGGTGTTTCTTTCCGGGCAGTAAAGCGCTGACTGTGCGCTCTGGAGCGTTTGTGCTCTGAGAAGAAAAGCGCTGCACGTCCGTCCTGTCTCCATGACAACAGTCTGATGACAGCAGCCGCTGTATGACCGACACTGCTCCGTTACTTTTTACTGCATGTTTTACATTTGAAATCGTTTATTTCCAAAGAGGGAGTAGGGGGTAAAACTTGACATTTGGAAAAGGGCGCCGGTGAGGTCAACAGCGCCTTTCTGAAAAGTTTGAAATATTTTCAACCTGAGCGTTCGGAGCCGCCGCACAGAAAGGTGGAGAGCTCTAAAAAATAATGCTGGGTGCTGCGTATTTTCACCCGAGGGCCGCCTGCTCCTGCAGACGCTCTCTCCTGCAGACGCTCTCTCCTCATTTAAAATATTGACACTGCCGCTCAGAAAGAAAAAAAAAAACGGCAGGTGGACACGGCGCTTTAAGCTGCACGTTTTAGTTGTGCAACGATAATGACATCACTGTCAGCGGCCGATGAGTGTCCGACATGTTTTTTATCGTGCTGAATGAGTGCACGATGTAGTCTTTAAGTCCGGTTCAGTTTCTGCTGTACTGTTGCTTTAAACCACACTGAACCGTCACGGCTTCATGCTTCTGTGTGCTGAACCGTCATCATTAATCTGTTTTTGTTTTTCTGTTGTTATTGTTTTTTTCTCCCATCATGCTTTGTGTTGCTGCTGCCTGACTCTGCTCCTGTGTGCTCTGCCCTGACGACACTTAATGTCTTTTGGCTTCTGCCTTCACCTCCATTCTCCTCCTCCTTCTTCCTCGTCCTCCTCCTCCTCCTCTTCCCCTTCCTCCTCCTTCATCCACCTCCTTCTCCTCTTCCATACTCCTCCTCCTCTTCCTCTTCATCCTCCATCTTCCTCCTCTTCCATCTTCCTCCTCCTCCTCCTCCTCCTCCTCTTCATCCTCCTCCTCCCGGCTGCTGTGTATGTTTTCCTCTTCTCTTCATCTTTCTCTTCACTTCCTCTGTCCTGAACTCTCTCTCTCTCTCTCTTTGTATCATTCTTTACTCCTTTCCTTCCTCCTTTCCTCACCATGCTCTTTGCTCTCCTCATCTCTTTTATTCTCTTTTGTTTTCTTGCACGATTGCTCTTCCTCCTCTTTCTTCGACTCCTCTCTGCTCTTCTCCAACTTTGCTTTTTCTCCCTCCCCTTCTCTCTCTCTCTCTCTCTCTCTCTCTCTCTCTCTCTTTTTTGGTCGGTGGTGAGCAGAGGAGGCTGAGGGTAAGTCTGTTTTTGTTTTCCCTCAAACAATCCTAATGGTTCTTTATTTAATAAATCTATTTGTGATTAACCATGAATGTGACCCCTCCCCTCCCCCCTCTCCTCCTCAGTGTCGAACATCGACCATGTGGTTCTGGATGAAGATCACTCTGGATCCAGGAGGCTGCAGAACCTCTGGAGGTAAAAGACCTTGTTTACTTTACAAGTCACTTAAATAACCTCCCAGAGAAACAGTCCCAGGAGGTCAAACTCATGACACTGTTTCCCCATATCTAAAGCAATAACCAAACTTTATTGAGGAATTCTACGATGCTGCAAAACTATCTGTGTGTGTGTCATGACTAAACTTTGTGTGTATTTGTGTTACAGAGACTCCAGAGAGGAAGCTTTGGGTGAATACTACATGAGGAAGTATGCCAAGTCATCTGGAGGGGAGCAGTAAGTAACTTTGTTCTAAGTGAAAAGATGAAGTCTGAGCTGTGCACTCTTTTTATAAAGACTCTGTCAGCTCACACTTTGCAGCACAGCACACCGAGACGATTGTTTTATTGTAGTTTTTAATCCAACAATTTGACTAAAGAGTAATCACAAGAACATGATTCTGAACTTTTCTGTTTTTTTACACACTATTCTTGTTTTCTTCTTCGGTGGTGTGCAGTTTCTCTGGAGGGTCCGAGGAGCTCTCTGATGACATCACTCAGCAGCAGCTACTTCCTGGAGTCAAGTACGTGAACTCTTCATGCACCAATCAGCTTTGAGGACACCTGCAGACACACTCTGAATCTTTGAGCTGTTTTAACAACAATTTTTTTTTTCCTCGTCAGGGATCCCAATCTGTGGACGGTCAAGTGTAAGGTGTGTGTGTGATAAAAACACAAATTCAAATCACACATAGAGGGATTGACTGTTCCTTTACATGCTGCATCTGTTTGTTAAATAATTCATCCTGTTTTTAGATCGGAGAGGAGAGGGCGACGGCCATCGCATTGATGAGGAAATTCATCGCCTACCAGTTCACAGACACGGTAAGACGCTGCACTCTGTCATAACTACTTCAGGATGTTTGACCTCTGCCACTCACGCTTCTCTTAACTCGACCGTCTCCTCACAGCCTCTGCAGATCAAGTCCGTGGTTGCCCCGGATCACGTCAAAGGTTACATCTACGTGGAGTCGTACAAACAGACGCACGTCAAGTCGGCCATCGAAGGCATCGGGAACCTGAGGATGGGTCTGTGGAACCAGCAGATGGTCCCAATCAAAGAGATGACGGACGTCCTCAAGGTCGTCAAAGAGGTCACCAACCTGAAGCCCAAGTCCTGGGTCCGACTGAAGAGAGGCTTGTACAAAGACGACATCGCTCAGGTAAGAAGAAGTGATTTCTGTATTTGCTATCATAATGAGCTTTGGGGCGTTGGCTAGACACTGACACACCAAGCAGACGGCAAAGAACTAGTGGTCTTGGCCAAAAAGTTGCACTTGAACACGCCGCAAAGACTACAGCCGACGGCCAACCACCACGTACGTTCTGCTCATGTGTGAGATGAAATAACTCTCCATGCCAGCAGGGGGCGGTAGTTACGTAGTTATACAAGAAGACCATTTTCACCCCGCTGTCGCTCACCACTCGTATTATAGGTCGTCTACTAATGGAGAATAATGTCTGATAAAAAGGTGAAAATGGCGCTGGCGTTGTCAGCTCTTGGTCTTTTAGTGGAAAAAGAAAAGAAGAGGAGGAGGAGACAAATAAGGAGAAACCACACTAATGGGTGAAAGCATGGATACTACAGAGACATGCTCAAGAGCTTTACTGAACCTGAGAGGAGAGCTGGAGAGAAATGAAACAACAGAACAGCCAATCAGAGAGATCCGTCTCACCGACCGCTGACGCAATTCAACATGTTTGTCCGACGGAGCCAGACAAACTAGGGCGGCGACCGCTCACCGACGATCTCCTTGGTGTGCCAGGGCCTTAAGGGACTCATTGAAAGACGAACTCTTTGCGAGAGATGACGAGTCTTGAAGACACTTAAAGATGAACTTAAAATGAGATAATTCAAGTCCTTTAATGTAAGTAATGCAGACATTAATGAGCTGTGTTTTATTCTCCAGGTGGACTACGTGGAGCCGAGTCAGAACACCATCTCCCTGAAGATGATCCCTCGCATAGACCTGGACCGCATCAAGGCCAAGATGAGCCTGGTATGACAAACACACACCCTGTAGCTCTCCACTCGATCCACTGCTCAGAACCGTTTGTTTACATTTGTGTCTGTTTTCCATCCTGTAGAAAGACTGGTTCGCTAAGAGGAAGAAGTTTAAGAGACCCTCTCAGAGGCTGTTTGATGCTGAAAAGATCAGGTACACACACACACACACACGCACACACCAAATTCGGGCATAGCAACAGGACAGACAAGTAAGCTCAAAATACACATTAAACAGAATAGATAAGATAAATAAAAATAAAACGGGGTATATACAAGTACAAAATGAATGAATGATGAAGTTAACTATGCAGGGAGCTGAGACAGTATTTGTAGAGAATGACAAGATAAAGTGACAAGTGATGATTAAAGTGATTTGGTAACATCAATAGCAGCAAGTAATGTAAACAGCAGAGAAGAGAGGCAGTGTTGTACCACAGTGATGCAGAGTGCAGTTATATAATATAATGTAGTATAACATAATATAATATAATATAGTGTAATATAATGAAATGTGATATAATATAGACTAATATAATGAACTTGGGGCGGATGTTGGCTCCCAACTCAATGACAAGTGTGAAATCGTACCGCCGCTCTTCAAATGTATTTCTCTATTGGCATAACAGGACAGACAAATGCATAAAAGACAATCATACTTGAGTGCACATGAGTTACTTCTGTTCCTTAAATAAAGTAGTTTGAGCCTTTCTTTTGGAGAGGCAGGAAGTCGTGGTGGCGGCTCCGTGTACAATTAGAACCACTACGGCCCACTCTTCAAACTAAGTTCATGTGTATGAATATTCTTCAATCAATCCTTTGAAAAGATCTGAACTCATTTGATTTCTGCTTTTATTTCTGGAAAAAACTGCGCTGCAAATAGTTTGAGTCTTGAGCTTAGCGTATCTATGACTGACAGCTGATGATTATGATTGACAGGTCCCTCGGTGGGGAGGTCAGCCACGACGGAGACTTCATGATCTTTGAGGGGAACCGTTACAGCCGCAAGGGATTCCTGTTCAAGAGCTTTGCCATGTCGGCTGTGGTGAGTCTAGTTTTTTAAGCCTCGGTATTGTTACTCAAAAAAAACTAAAGGGGCCTCGTACAAAGCCCTGAGGAACACCCTTGTTTCATTAAGGTTTTTTTTTTTTTTTTTTACTTTACAAAGCCTTCTTATCGCTGATTCACATTTTATTTTCTGTGTTCTGTGTGTCAGATCACAGACGGAGTGAAGCCCACTCTGTCCGAGCTGGAGAAGTTTGAAGACCAGCCTGAAGGAATCGACCTGGAGGTGGTCACTGAGTCAGGTACGATGACCCTGTAATCGTCTTTCGGGTTAGAAAAAGGTTATTTTCAGACTGAAGACGAGCACGTCAGGGGGACTGGAATATCCCATCCCATCGCCTGTGAAGTTCCTCATGCTAATACAAAATGTTTTGTGTGTCTGTGTGTGTCTGTGTGTGTGTGTGTGCGCAGGTAAGGAGCGTGAACACAACCTGCAGGCCGGAGACAACGTGGAGGTGTGTGAGGGAGAGTTGATCAACCTGCAGGGAAAAATCCTCAGTGTGGACGGAAACAAGATCACCATCATGCCCAAACACGAAGACCTGAAGGTGAAGGACGCACACGTTCACACACGCACACGTTCACACACACACAGCTTGTCTCTACATAAGTACACCTAAACTGGTCCTCACAAGCATAGCAATACACCAAAAAGAGCAGAAACAAAGCCTCTATTAACGAGCTGAGACTTCCCCGTGCATCAACAAACTCCTCAGACCGTCTTAAGATCGTGTGTTTTGTGTGTGTGTTCTCTCAGGACCCTCTGGAGTTCCCGGCTCACGAGTTGAGAAAATACTTCCGCATGGGCGACCACGTGAAGGTGATCGCCGGGCGCTACGAGGGAGACACGGGCCTCATCGTCAGAGTGGAGGAGAACTTTGTCATCCTGTTCTCCGACCTCACAATGCACGAGGTACAAGCTCCGCCCGCATTCTGCATCCTTTCTAATGGCCAGCAGGGGGCGACTACACTTAGTTGCATTAAGACGTCTGCGTGTATAGAAGTCAAAGAAAAGATGATTAATCATCTCTTTGTTTTTTTTCCCCGTGTGCAGTTGAAGGTGTTGCCCAGAGACCTGCAGCTCTGCTCGGAGACAGCGTCCGGCGTCGACGCAGGAGGGCAGCATGAGTGGGGGGAGCTGGTCCAGCTGGACCCCCAGACTGTGGGAGTCATCGTCAGACTGGAGAGGGAGACGTTTCAGGTAATAGTCTGATCCGGGGACAAATGAGACATCTTACCTGCAGCCTCTGCACAGCGAACATCAAACAGTGTCGGTAGATTAGACATTTAGAATATCTTTAAAACAAATCAAATCTTAATGAACACCTGCTGTCTCTGTCAGGTGCTCAACATGCACGGGAAGGTTATGACGGTTCGGCACCAGGCGGTGAACCGCAGGAAGGACAACCGCTTCGCTGTGGCGCTGGACTCAGAGCAGAACAACATCCACGTCAAGGACATCGTCAAGGTCATCGACGGGCCGCACTCTGTAAGGAACCGTTTTAATCATTTTCTGGAAAACTTTTAATCCGTACGTTAACGTCGGCTACGTCGACTTGAGCAGAGATTTAATCAACACATTCAAGTTATATCCCCCGTGTGTTTTTGTTTTCAGGGCCGTGAAGGTGAGATCCGTCACCTGTTCCGAGGCTTCGCCTTCCTGCACTGTAAGAAGCTGGTGGAGAACGGAGGCATGTTCGTGTGTAAGACGAGGCACCTGGTGTTAGCTGGAGGATCCAAGGTCAGCACTGCACGGGCTCATATTGATCACAGGGTTTGTCTCAGGAAGTCAAGAACACAAACTTAAAGAGACGCAGCTGACAGATCATTTAGGGTTCTCTGAATGTCGCTCAATTCAAGTACTTTTTTTTTTTTTTAAGATTTATTTTTGGGCTTTTTGTTCCTTTATTGTAGAGACAGGACAGTGGATAGAGCTGTAAATCAGGGAGAGAGAGAGAGAGGGGAATGATATGCAGGAAAGGAGCCACAGGTCGGGTTTGAACCTGGGCTGCCCGCTTGGAGTACAGCCTCTGTACATGGGGCGTGCGCACTAACCACTGCGCCACCCCAATTCAAGTACTCTTTTAGCCCTTAGCTTGTTTTTTTAAAAACATATTTCTGAGGCAAATGACAAAAAGGTGAAAAGAGATTTGGGTACATCATGCAGTAAATATCTTCAGCCGAGGGACAGGCTGTAATCGTTAAGGGGGAAATCCTCCAGATCATAGTATGTCCATGTAAAGTGTCAGTAACATCGTTTCCTACCAGCACACGAGCGTTAGACAGCAAGTTGCAAAGAAGA